CCTCAAAAAATTAAAAATAGAATTACCCTACAACCCAGCAATAGCACTACTAGGAATTTATCCAACAGATATAAAAGTGCTGATATAAAAGTGGGGCACATGTACCCCAATGTTTACAGCAGCGCTTTCAACAATAGCCAAATTATGGTAAGAGCCCAAATGCCTATCAACTGATGAATGGATAAAGAAGATGTGGTTTATGTATACAATGGAATACTACTTGGCAATGAGAAAGAATGAAATCTTGCCATTTGCAACAATATGGATGGAACTGGAGGGTATTATGCTAAGTGAAATAAGTCAGTCAAAGACAGAAATCATATGTTTTCACTCATATGTGGAATTTGAGAAACTTAACAGAAGACCATGGGGAAAGGGAAGGGGAAAAAATAGTTTCAAACAGAGAGGGAGACAAACCATAAGAGACTTTTAAATACAGAGAACAAACAGGGTTGGTGGGGGGTGCCGGGGAGAAGGGAAAATGGGTGATGGGCATTGAGGACGTCACTTGTTGGGGTGAGCATTGGGTGTTGTATGTAAGCAATGAATCATGGGAATCTACTCCCAAGAGCACACTGCATACACTGTGTGTTAGCTAACTGGACAATAAATTATATTAAAAAAATAAAATTAAAAAACAAAGAAAGAAGAAAGCCAAATTTGAGGGGAGAGGAGATGTTGTTGAACTTGAATCTATATTTCTGAAGAAGAATCGCCTGGAATTTTATAAAAGCAAAGAACACAAACATCATCTTTGTGTTTATATTAGGGATTAAGCATTTTAAAGCATGCAGTATGTATTTTAAACATTTTTTTCTTTTTAATCTTTCATTGCACCTAAAGAATGCTAATAGTTACCAAATTGTTCTTTGGCAGAGTAACCTGGTCCTCTCAGAAAAGAAAAAAGAAAGGAAGTGTGATAGGATGTGATTGTAGCACGAGACAAAATTATGGGTCCTCAACCCTGAGCAGCTATTACCTAATCCAATGATGCCAAACTAGGTTACCCAGGAGCATCTCCCCTCATTGCGTTATGTACATTACACAGCAATGAACAACAGTTTCCATGGCTCCTAATAACAAGACTTTTCTCTTTATTACGAGAGCAAAGTGGGGGCTTACAGATAATATCTGAGCTTATCTTTGAGCTGCTCGGCCTCCTCATCTACGTGCCACAGCTTCTCTCAACTGGCGCTGGTTATCTCAGCAATAAAGTTTTCAGTCTCTAGAAACAGATTTCTTCCTACAGCCTGAAAACAGAAGGACAAAGATCTTGTTATGTGCGCTAAGATGGTTGAGTGGAACGAGCATGACTCCTGGCCTGTCACTAACTGTGATCAGCTTTTCAAATCCACATGGAGTGCATTCCCAGCAACTCGTGGCGTAGTGAGGAACACGGATGTTTGTAATGACGCATTCCCGAGAAGCAACAGTTCTAACAGCCCAGTGACCTAGCTTACTCATTCCAGTTTCTTTGTGCAGAGACCTTTTATTTTCCTGAGTCCTTCACCATGTGCTAACAATTAGACAGTGACTCCATAAATGAATGCCATGGATGGTGGGTGATGTGTTTTCTCAGTTCTTTATTGAAAACATATGGAGATGTTTATATATAAATAGAAAACAATAGAATGCTGCCATCATGTTAGCAGCAGCTAATAAAACTCTACATGAATAGAAATTAAACATGTCTCTACCTACGCCAGAATTCTGGTTTACTGACATCTGAACATCCTGTGTAGTTCAGCTTGAAAAGATGTTTTATTATTTTAGGCTTTTTATTCCTAGTTGGGAGGAAATTGTGGGGCAAGACTTGTTTGCTTTTTGGGGATTTTTGTTTTGTTTAGTTTAGTTTTTGTTTTGTTTACTCTTTCCTTTGCTTAATCAAATTACTTTATTAGCAGGGATGATAAATTCTGCCCAAGCAGACCTTTTATTATGATCATGAAAAATAACTTTAAACTCTATGCATTTGTTTAACTACAGTCCCTGTATTTTTAAATTAAAACCGAGGACTTGTGGCCTGACACTTGGGAGAAAGCTTCAGCAGACAGGGTGGTGGAGGGTGGAGAGCTTTGGAAAGCAGACCTCTGCATCTGAATTCTGGCTGCTCCACTGACTGACAGGGTAACCTTGGAAAAGTTAGGTAATGTTACTAAACCTCCATTGCTTCCTCTGTGAAATGAGAACTACAGTACCGCTTGTCTCACAGAATGGTTGTGAGAGTTACCTGGCATAAGGTGGAAAGCATTTCCTACAATATCTGGTAATAGGCAGCCCTGAAAAATGCCACCTGTCATCTTTGTAACAGCTAACTGAATGGTTTATGGGGAGACCATCCTTGGAAGTTTGAGAAGTATAGATGCTTAGTAGTAAGACCAGTAAGGACAACCTTATTACGTGCAAATTCTGCACCAGGCTTCACCATGAACTCTTTCTTACAACTCCGTGAACTGGCTGCCATTGTCATGCCCATTTCACAGAGGAAGAAACTGAGAGGTTACATAGACGGCATGAAGTCACACAGCCAATGACTGATTCATCTGAGAATTGAACCCAGTCTGAGTAATTCCAAAGCCCATGCTCTTTTATCTCTCTGCTAAACTGGCTGCCACACATACCGTTAAAAACTTCATTATATACATTATTTCCTTATGTTCCTAGCAACATCCTGTGACATTGTACAGGGGCATTCACAAACTGTGGAGCCCCTGTCCCTAGGACGTCTGTTCATTTGCAGCCGAATCAGAGGGTCAAGAAGTTCTTAATGCACATTTTGTGAAGAGCTCTGGCAAGTTCAACTCACGCAGCCCCTCTCACTGTGATCCACGAAGGTCTTACCTTTGAAGGTGCTCAAAGCTCCACGTGCACTGGCTCATTATTCAAGCTTTGAAAAAGAGCATTTCTCCCACCCTACCGATGGAGAAGCCAGAGGCCAAGATGACAAGACTTGGGGACTGAGAGAGAAAGCCAGTGACCCCCTTGGCAGCCCAGCATGGAATAGAATAGCGTGGGTCCAGGGCTGTGTCGCCTCACCAGGCTGCTCTATAGTGTTGGGTCTCACAGCCAAACTGCTGCCTAGCCCCACTTTAACCTAAATAGTGCAAGACTAGGAGCACTCTGTCTAATTTTCTTGTTGGAAGGATGGGATCTGCCTGCAGTATGGGAACCCTCACATATAAGATTATCCAATTATGTTTTCATTTGCAGATTATTGTGATGTGTCTATTCTCTTTTTTACAGAGGGTAGAGTTTGGGGTAAGAAGTAGCAGGACATATGAGGGGAGAAGGTTAGGACTGCCAAATAACATGTCAACTTGCTGACCTAGCATCAGCATGCTAGCTAAACAAGCCCTGAATGTGAGACATTAATGCAAATATTGTGCGTATTATTAACTCTAATGATGCTGCTGTTGTGCAGTAGCCACAGCTGAAAGCTGAGATGACACATTTGATTATAAGTGCCTCAGGTCCTTCTCTGAAAATCACCATGAAGACAGAAACCTCCTAGAAACGAGAGTGGAAATGTGAGAAGACTTCTGCTTTGTTAACTTTATCAATCATTAGCAACAAAGCATGTTGCTAATCCCACGGGCCACCCCATTCAGTCCTATAATTGCCTGCAAGACCCTCCTTTAGAATCCACCATTCCTGTTCTTGCCCTTGTAACAATAGTACGCTTCCATGGCAAGTTAGGAGATCATCGTAAAAAGGAATCTGTTCTAGAAAAAAAAAAAACATGCAGCCCTCAGACTGTTATGTAAGTGAGAAATCATTCTAATTCAGAACAAGCCTTACTTATCACTCCATCCTATGCTAGTGATGGCAGTGTGGAGTCCTGGGAAGTGTAGGATTCCAGACTCAGCTCTACCATTTGCAACCGTGTGACGTTGAGCAAATCACTTGACCTCTATAATCCTCATTTCCTTTTCTGTAAAACAGCATCAACCTTATAAAGCTGCTTTGTCTACTTTATGGGTTATAGAAGCAGATAAAAGGAGATTGCAAATGTGAAACCTCTCTGGAAGCCCTGTGCAAATGTTATTAATTGACTTTTACTGGGTGAGTATTAAGGAATGGTTAGCGGTGCCATCCAAGGATAGCGTGGGAATAACTCAACCAGGTAGTTGTTGGTACTAGACCAGTCTTGGAGAAGTGAATGGCTCCTGAGAAACAGAAGGTCAGGATAGTTTTTAGGTCCTTAAACTTGTGAGTCTTAGGGCTGTGTGGCAATTTAGTTGTGCAACCTGGTGACAGCATCTTATATTCTAAGCCCTTGCAGTGACAATATAGGCTACACGAAACCACTGTGTGCTTTCTTAGCAGACTTTATTTGGAAAGAGCTTACAAACTAGTGGCCTGACACAGTTGCCAGGGTTTCAAGTGCTCTGGTTGTACACCAGAGAGAGCAGTGCTTCATGTGTTGTCCTATTAGCTCCCTCCCTGGGGATTCAACAAACGGAACAATAACAACATCAGAAATCCAAGACAGACCTGTCGGTTTGATGCCTTTAAGCTTCAGCAGAACTCACAATTAAAATAAGATCAAATACTCATTTAGAGGAAAGAAAAACAGAGAAATAGGTCCGCAGGGCATACCCTCTTTTGTCTGAGCATGACTCACACTATCTGGAGGTACCTACCATGTAGAAGGAATCGTATCCTGGTACACACTAGGCATTTAAGAAAATTGGTGGAAAGACTATTATTGCTAGCAGAAATAATTGAGTAACTTCAATATTAAGCCTTATATTTCCTTTCATTATATCTTTTTAATCCTTCCAAGTCAACTTGTGTTTGGCAAATCCCAAGATGAGTAATTGTACATCTCAGAGCACTTAACTAACATGCAGACCAGACCCGAGGTCAGGCAGAGAAGCGTGTGTTTTGGTAAGAACTGCCGAGGAGATAAAGCATTTGATTATTATTGTTTGATAGTTCCCAAGGAGAAAGCACAGAGGCAACAGATAACGAACCAAACACTTTTCTCTTTTGTTTAGGCAAATATTTCCAACTACAGCCTGGTGATGGAGTCTGATCTGGGAACCTTCTTACCCTCTGGGCTGCAATTCACTGGCAGCGAAAAGGCCAGGACCATCGTGGAGGAGGTCATGAGCCTGCTGCAGCCTGTCAACATCACACAGGTCTTTAGGGCTGGAGAAGGGACAGACATTAACTTCTGGATCCAAGCTGGAGTGCCTGGTAAGACCGAAAGATGAAGTTGGTGTTCCTTAGGTTCTGCTACTGATTTAAAATAAAATTGCTATTCAAACATGCCACAGCGGATACTGATAGGCCAGTTAATACACAGAAACTCTAAGCTTTGTCCATAATCTGATGGCTTCCAGACTTGGAATAATAATACTCATTTGTATTTTTTTTTTCTAAATTATAAGTTCCTCACTCCCAGAAATTCTGCTTTACTGATTCCTGGATTACACCTACAAATATGTTTGGGTTTTTTTTTGTTGTTGTTGTTATTTTTTAAAACAGGTATCTAAATGGTGATCTCATGACCAAAATTTGAGAAATCGAGTACAAAGCAATTATTACTACTAATATGCTTCTAGTTCTAGCTCTGTGCTAGGAAATCTTTTCTGACCCAAATAATTCCCTACCCAAATACCATGGAATCTGAAATTTTACCAGTAGAGCTTTATTTTTTGAGGGTAGGGTACTTCCTACTCATCTTTTTTTCTTAATGAAAACTCTTGGACATAAACTAATCTCACATGATCAGTGATTTATCAGGTTGATATTTTTAAGACAAGTCCTGGGGAAGGATAAACTTACAGAATAGGAGTTGGCCTCAAGAGGTCACAGAACTAGAACGTGAAACAGTCTTCGTATACTGCTTCTCAAATTTGCCCTAGACTGGCCATGGGTAAGGGTTATTGATGGTATTAAGCATCTATGAACTGAAGTTGTTCCCTCCTTATATCCATAATCAAAAACATCGTTAAAGGATCTATTTGTATTATGCCATTCAGTAGTTTTAACGTTACTGTTTCCAGAACTATTTCTGTGGCTACAGAGCATTCATAGGTGCAAAATAGATTTCACCAATAGCATGCTGCATGGATTTAAGATTTTTAAAAAGCTTATCCTTAAGATATTGTATATTTTTAAAGCATATTTTAAGTTTGAAGGTTTATAATAATCTTTCATAACTAAAAATAGAAGGAGCTTTCCTTTATTCTAATACAGGACCTAGATTCTGTTTCATGGCGTGTGTACATTTTAACCATATTTTGAAATATCATTTGCATTGATGGGGCTGTGCATCATCTGGACAGATCTGAGACTCCTCACATTTCTGTCAGTTCTAATTATGATCAAGGTCTAAGGGAAGGCAATTTGCCCTTTTAAGCTATATGGAATAATTTGTTTGAATTTTAGATTTTTCCCAAGGCTTAACTTTTTTCATAGGGATGTTCTCAAAAATTGAGAAAGCCTGAGTAAGTTTGTGGGGTGGTAAATGTGAGGAAAAGACTGACAGACTGTGGGTGAATTGAAGTGGAGACCGGGGGTGTGTGGAGGGCCGGGGAGGAGCTGAAACCAAAACCAGAAGTAGAACAAAGAAACTTGTAAAATCTCTGCTCCCAGGGTCCCTTGCTTTCGTTGCACTGGATAATTGAGAATTTGCTCTAGCTTTATTCCTTCCATGTAGATGTTTCATAAGAATGGTTCTGTTTGCAATTAACAGGTTGGTTTGATTGTCTTCACAAAGGTAAGGAGGCCTTTTCCTCTTGCCAATGTGAGGTCAGATTTGATCACCAACTAATGGAGTGGATTGGGGAATTTGAGATCCATTATGGTTTCTTGAGAATTAATACAAGTTACAATTTCTTGAGCTCTTGTTACTGATCAGGCACTCTATGAGGCTTTTGTAGACACTCTTTTTTATCCATACAACCATGCTAAGGGGAAGGTACAGTCATCCCTATTTTGCAATTAAAGAATCAGATTCAGAGGGACTAAATAACTTAGCCAAGGCTATCCTGCCCTTAAGGGCAAAAGTTATCCTGAGACCAGGCCACTTTGTTTTCAAGGCTGGTGGCCCTTTTCCCACAATGTGCAGCAACACAGGGGAGTCTGGAATGCTGAGATGGCCTTCCAAATCTATGGCAGTGTCTGAAATGTTTGTCTTACTCAGCTCTTACTTATGCAAAGGATTTCAGTTCATTCCTGCTCTAGAAAATTTTACCCCTGGGGAAAGGAGTTTGTTATTGTAAATGACTGCTTATTTCTTCTAACATTCTTTGTTCCACTCCCCTCTCTACCTCGGTGGATCAGGAAGGCTTATAAAACGTCAGTGGTTCATTTAGACTGCAGCTAATGTTTCCTGGAATTCTTTTTAATTTCCTTCAGAATACTGTAAGATGGAACCAAATTATTTCTGTCTTCCCCTATTACCATTAAGCTATCTTTTGATATTTCAAATTTGGTCTATTTCTGGAAGAAATGATGGAACTGCTTATATTGTGTCTCTTTTTACCTATTGAAAATTTCAGGAATTTTAGAAAAAGATGAAGAACGATAGTTAATCAGAAAAAGAAATAAAAATATGCCAGCTGTATGTATACCCTCTATTCATGAAAACCTGGCAAGTTACAGTAACTGAAACCTAAAGATGGTATTCAAAATATTAATTATGATTTAAATAACTGCTCACCTAACTTTTGAAAAATCAATGAGAAATAATATCCCAAACACCATCTTTCTTCTTTCTCTTTTTCTTTTCTTTCCTCCACTGACTCAATAAGTATTTATTGAGCCCCTACCCTGTCCTATGCCTATCAAATTTCTGTAGTCTGATGGCGGGCCCCATTTTTTTTCATGTTCCTTGTGTACTCAATAGTGAAATACTAATTAAGAACACAGACAGAATTAAAATTCAACATGATTTTCATTAATTATAGAAGCCAAGTAGATTGATTGATGAAAGAAAGGTTCATCTTTGGAGAAGAGAGATGCTGTCCTTCATCCATCTATATGATATCCATAATGGACATAATAACTATCAACATAAAGATAAGGCTTTGGAGGGAGGAAGTTTGTTTTTTTAAAGTATCTTAGATGTGTTTTCCACATAAACTGACTATTCTAGATATTTTTACACTCCAACGTACTCCCATTGCTACTTCCTTCTATACTCCTTCCTATTCTTCCCTTCCAAATCCTAGATGCTCTTTAAGGTTCACTCTGTTTTCATCAGTATCCATGAATCCTTCCACAACAGCCCATGGCACTCTGTTGCTTTTCTAAATTTCCAAAATACTTTTGTGTCCCACAATCTGGCATTTGAATTACACACTAATATTGTTCTTGGATTACTAGGAGTACCCAGTGATCAATTCTTTGAAGTTAAAGTCAATGGTTTCTACTTTTCTTCTTCTGTAGTTCTTAGCTTAATTTTGGGAAACATTTAAACTCTAGTAAATCTGACATGAGAGGAGAAAACAAAACCACAGAAACAATTATTTTCTCAACACGCTTCGGGTCCCTCATCTTAAGACTGTGGAGAAAATGAAGGATGCTGAGAAAAGAGATATAAAGGTAGAAAAAAATAGTAGAAGATTGGCATAAATTAGGGAGGCTACAACAGTTAGGATTATTTCCCTTAAAGGAATAAAGACTGAAAGGAAATGCTGAATAATATCTTCTAGTCTTTAATGATTCTCATACATTAATGGTAAATAGTTCTCTGACTCTTTCAAACACAACACAAGAGCATGGCTTAGAGTGGTCTAAGAGAGATTTTGGTTAGTCTCTATTCAAAAACTCTAGAGAGCAGAGAGACTTTCCATCTTAATTTTTTTTTACCTGATTCTCTAATTACAAGCTCCAGGTTAGAACAAGAGGAGTCTATTTCATTCGGAATATGTCAGTAATGAGATATAATCCACGTTTTCCAAATGTCCTTGCATGCATCCTTCTCAGACATCTTCTTTCTTTAGAAACTCGTGTATGAAATATACATTAATGAAAAAATTAGATACTCTCTTAATGTGACCTGAGGGAGTGAGCCTACCCTATTCCATACCTACCAATAAGAGTTTCCTCTGCTTCAAACTCTGAGTCAACCTTTTTCTAATATTGTTGGCATGTGGTAGACAGTGCGCTGGAAAGAATTAGAGTGTGTGAGTGTGTTTTCTGGCTTTATAGTGTCTAACTGCAAGGGCTATCTTAGGCAAATGATGTCATTTTTCTCAGCCATGCTCATTTTTTTCTTTACATTTTTTAAATTGAAGTATAGCTGACACATGTTGCATTGGTTTTAGGTGCACAACATAGTGATTTAACAAGTCTATATGTTATGCTGTACTCACCACAATGTAGCTACCACCACAATCTGTCACCATACAATCCTATTACAATACCATTGACTATATTTCCTATGCTTTGCCTTTCATCTCCATGATTTACTCATTCCATAACTGGAAGCCTGTTCCTCCCACTCCCCTTCACTCATTTTGCGCATCCCTCCAGCGCCCTTCCCTCTGGCAACTACATTTGTTCTCTGTATTTATAGGTCTGTTTCTGCTTTGTTTCTTCATTTGCTTTGTTTTCTAGATTTCACATATAAATGAAACCATATGATATTTGTCTTTTTTTATCTGATTTATTTCATTTAGCCTAATACCCTCTAGGTTCATACATGTTGTTATGAACGGCAATATCTCATTCTTTTTTGTGGCTGTATAATATTACATTCATGTATATACATATATATACACACACATACATATATACACACATATATATACACATGTACACGTATACATATATACACGTACACACATACATATATCACATCTTCCTATTCCATTCACCTATTGATGGGCACTTAGGTTGCATCCATATCTTGACTATTATAAATAATGCTGCAATAAACATAAGGGTACATATATCTTTCTGAATTCATGTTTTAGTTTTCTTTGGGTAAACACCCAGAAACAGAGTTACTGGATCATATGATATTTCTATTTTTACTTTTTTGAGAAAACTCCGTACTGTTTTCCACAGTGGTTGCACCAATTTACATTCTCACCAAAAGTGCACATCCTCATCCACACTTTTTCCCCCATATCCTCCTCAACACTTGTTATTTCTTGTCCTTTTAATACTTGCCATTCTGAAAGGTGTAAGGTGATGTCTCATTGTGGTTTTGATGTGCTTTTCCCTGATGATTAGTGATG